CTCTCTCTCTCTCTCTCTCTCTCTCTCTCTCTCTCTCTCTCTCTCTCTCTCTCTCTCTCTCTCTCTCTCACCAGTTCTCACTATATTGCCCAGGCTGGTTTTGAACTCCTGGGCTCAGATGATTCTCCTACCTCAGCCTCCCGAGTAACTGGGACTATGGTTTTGCCCAGAATGTTTGTGAAATTTTAAAGCAAAGGGAATGGAATGTGCAAAAAGAGAAGCCAGAGGGCCTGATATATGAATTAAAGAAGTCTGAAGTTCGGACTAAAGAGAAAGGAGAAGGATAGCATGGGCAGATGAGACAGCATGGGTGGTTTATGACCAGATAGTGAAGAATGCCAGAGTCTGGTCCACAAGTCTTCCTCTGAGGAAGGGGAGCCATTGAGGGTTTTGTATAGGAGCAACAAGCCCAAATCTGTGAATTCAAAGGACCATCATAGCATGCCCCCAACACCACCACACAGGCATATAGAAGATACATTGATTAGAAGTAGAGATTAGGGGGCAGGTAGACTAGCAGGGAGCTACTTTAATAGTCCAGGAGGGAGAGGAAGAGATGCTGAAATAGGAAGAAGTCTGGAACTTCTGGCCACCTCCACAGTGTCCCATGCCCAGACAGGTCTCATCTCTGTGCAGTAAATGGGTAGGAAGACTAGACTTGCTGAGAACACTTGCCTTCCTCATGTTCTGTTGTGTGGGTTCTACAAGATGAGGCTTCCTTGGGCCACAAGGCCATTGCCAGGAGTTCACACCTTCCATTTCAGCCTCTTTCTTACATTAACAGCCCACAGTGAGAGCAGAATTAAAAGCCAGGGCCCTGCTTTCCAGAAAATACACACCCCACCCCCATCCCCATTAGAAGAGTTGCTGAGATGAGGGGCCCCAGCTCTACCCATATGTGTGGGGCTGACAGGAAGGGGAGGAGGATGCAGGGAGCAGGTCAGGGCCTGCTCTCTGTCAAAGGAAACATCCACCCTTTTAAGCCTTTAAAAGACTGTTTTCTTCCAAGTAGGTCCTGCTGTTGCCAGGGCAACCAAGAACTCTGGGCTTTGTGTTTCTGCATGGAGTCCCCAGGGAGAGGTGGCCTGCTGAGCTTTCCCTAGTCTGGGCAGGATGCAGGAAGTGCTAACCCGAGGTGGACCTCCCCATTTGCGGGTAGTTTCTGGGCTTGTTAATGCCTGTGCTTATCCCCCAGAGGAACCCACACAGCCCCTCCCACAGCCTCATGAGCCAGTTCTGAAGGTCAAGGGCACAAGCTTTGGCTCCAATGGACCTAGTTTTCCAAGACCAGACTTTAGCACCCATCCTTTGTCACAGTTTCTCTCAGGAGGGTATTAGCAGCTATCTGAGGGATGTGTCCAGGATATGTGAGCTTACATCAGACCATGGTACATGCTGGGGAATCTTAGCACATTTATTTCTCAGTCACTTCCTAGGTTGATGGGACTGGGTCTCTGGGCTGGTTCCTGCTCTGGGAATTGTATGGGAAGGCTCAGAACCATTGAATGTCACCTGGGCTAGTTAGTCCCCAAGTCTTTGTTCTGCCTTGGGCTGGGCTGGGCATTAGAATTGCCTAGAGAGCTTTTAGAAATAGAAATTCCTGGAGATTCTGATTCTTTCAGCCTCAGTGGGGGTAGAGGATAGAGTTTAAGAGTACCAGTTCTGGATGTCAGACTGCTGGGGTTCAAGGTCAAACTCCAGACATGAGGCCAGTGATTTTCAGCCAGTTGCTACCTTTTGGCTGCCCATTTCCTCACTTATAAAAAGGGTGATTACAACAAACTAGCCTGCTTCACATGTTGCAAGATATTCTCTGCCTTCTCCCAGCCCCCCCTTCCACTGTCTCCCCCTTTCTCTCATTCTTTTCTTTGATTCTGGTATTTCCTTGCTCCTCAATGCAAAAAGGTTCCTGCTAGGAAGCCAGGACCCCAGGTGGGGCCTGTTCACCTCTAGGTGCTTGCAGCAGCCCAGGAAGGTATTAGCATCTCTAATCTGCCAGTTCATTCTCAGCCCACATACACTCGCATTCTTTTTCACATGCTTCTAAGCCATGTCTCCCCTACCCCGGCTCCTGCAGTTGGATTCTGAACCTGAATGTAAGTTCATGTCAATATATCCCTCCAGGTGAGGGAGATACTTTTTAGCTCCTGTTTCCATTTTGGAGGGAATCCTCTAGTACTCCCTGCAGATGCCCTTAGCAGGCTTCCTCTAGGTCTCCATCCAGCAGCCTGTTTACTCACATTTTCATTTATGTGCCAGACTAGTGTTGAGTTCCTATTGTGTACCAAGCCATGTCTCAACAGTGACAAAACAGATGAAACCAGAGAGCGGATCGGACTTTTCCAAGATCCCAAATGGAATCAATGGCAGGGATGGACTAAAATCTCAGGCTCTCTTCCCTAGCTTCACAGGACTTCCAACTGAAGGATTGAGATAAGGATTTCTATTTTTCTTACCTGCCCTGATTGGTCCTTATACCACCTGGACTCACTTATTCCTACCTGTGACATCATGAGGAATCCCAGCAGTGAGTGCTGGAGAACTTTTCTGACCCCCTGAAGCCTAAGTGGGAGCCCCAGTGCTCACTGAGGCAGCTCACAGCTCCATAGCCCCATCCCTCCTCCAAAAGTGTAGTCAGCCACATGTTTAGCACTGCCACTAGCCTGCCTTCCTGGGCAGGCCCTTCCCTGCAGGACAAATAACCACCTGGCTGGTTTTCCTAGAGACTCAAGATCTAGTGCAATTGACACATACTTGGTTTCTTTGACAAGATTCAGAATGCAGTTGGCCTGTGATTGCGCTTGTCGAGAGGCTTTCCTGGGAGACAACATGGTGCACTAGAATTGAAAGCATAGATTTGTGAGTCACAAAGACCTGGAGCCCCCCATGGAACCTAAAATCTCAGAGATTCAGATCCCTCAGCTCTAAAGGGAGACATTACCTGTCTCACTGAAATATTTTGGCAATGAAATGAGGTGATGCTGGTGAAAGGGCCCAACACGATCAGAAACATGCTGGTTTCCTCCCTCCTTTCCTCCTTCCTTACTCTTAAGGATGCAAGGCAAATGTGCCTCAGAAATGAGAGCTGTATCTCCACTGGAATTCTTCAAGCTGGAGAAAGAGGCAGGGCAGGGCAGAACCAGTCCAGCCTGGCCTATTAGACAGAAGGACCAAAGAAGTAGGGGCTGAGGTGGGGCTAAGTGTCTCAGGAGCTAATTAGCAACTGTGGGGCTGTGAAGGAGCCATTCACTAGGTACCAATGGGGCAGTGACTTCTCTCCCTATGTCTGTGTCCTCATGTCCAGGATGAAGGTGAGAATAGTGCCTGCCCCTCAGGATGAAGTAAGATGATAGATGTGAAGCACCTGGCACAGAAGTAACAGGGGCCTAATGAGCATTCCCCACCCACTTCCTCAGGGGAAAAAATATCTGGGAAACTTGGACAAATCCAAGAATGGGCTTGAGTTTCTTCTGACCCCACAGTCTGCAAGGAGCATGGAGATCTTGCTGGAAAGCCACTGCTCTGGGGTTTTGTGTTTCTAAAGCTTCACCAGCTAGCTCACTGGCGACTCATAGCACCACCTAGTGCCACAAAGTGGAAGGGCACTCTTCCCTACTCACTTAGCCTGGCTTCCCTTCTTTCACTCAAAGTCTCAGCTGTGTGCATGTGTAGAACTAATGCAATTTTTTCAAGATGCCCCATGTTTCTACTTCCCTCCCAACAATTTCTGCCATCCACAAAAGTGCAGGCCTATAGGCAGCCCTCTTGAGCCTCCGTTTGCTCATCTAAGAATTTCAAGGCTTCAGGCAGGGGTTCCAGGGTGCCTAGAAAGTACCTGATGCTTACTAGGTACCCATCTCTGCTTGCTCAATAACACAGAGAGACACGATCTTTACACACCCTTTATATTTTTATTGAGGAGAGAAGCTTTAGCGTACAGAGCAATTTCTTATCTTCACAACACAATAGTGCAACAATAACACAACAATAACACATTTATTTCAAGGGGGTTTCCTCCCGAGCCTCTGGGAATCCTTGGGCTGCCTTCATACCCCTGCATGCATTTCCCACCCACCCCCCACCCCTCTTTCAACCCAAGGAAACACCCAAAGCTCATAGTTCCTCTTACAGCTCTTGTGGCTGTCACATCACAACAAATATTGAAGATCTGGGAAAGCGGGGAGAGGGTCAAAGGGAAGCCCAAGCCCCCTCTGCCCCTAGAGGCCCGGAAACCAGCTCACTGCTCATCCACTCTCTCCCTGGCTGAGGCTACAAGGGTTCAAGGTGAGCACCATGGGAACAGGCAGGGCCTGTGCTGAGGGATCCCTGGAAGTGGGGGTGCAAGGCACCTGTCCTTTGCACTTCTCCACAAGTTCACAGGCAGCAGGGCCAGCGTGTTGACATCAGCAAACAGGATCCACAGCCTTGATGAATAGCTGTTCCCCTTCTGGAACTCTCTCCCAAGGAAATAAGCTGAAAAACAGATAAAACTATCTTTACAAGGTTGTTTACTTCTCCCCTGGTGGGAATGGGGAAAACCAGACAACTGACATGTCTAACAAATTAGGAGGATTCTTAAATAAATTATTCAATATCCATAATGGCAGAGGTGGCAGCCATTTTAAATCCTGCTGATGGAAAGCTAGCAGGATGATCTCAACTTTAAAAAGACACAGGAAGAACACACTAGAATGAAAGGCAGCAAACTGTTTACAGTACTTACATCTGCATGTTTGGAGTATTTTTCCCTTAGGGTTTTCTCTATTTTCCAATTTTCCTATAATGACTATGTATTATTCTTTTCTTTGGGGAACCTTTTTTAAAGGTAGCAACAGGTTATAGGAACCTGACCCCACTGATTCCCAAGCTGAGAAACAAAAGTGATAAACAAAAGGGCATCTTACCTCCCACTGATGAATAGAGATCTCACCCGAAACCAGTCTGAGGACTGGATCTCTGTGACTCCTCTTCCTCCAGCTCCTTCCTCTGGCCTCTAGGCCCCAAATCCCAAGGCTGGGCTGAGGTTATCTGTCAGACTCCGGTGAGGAACAGAGACTTCATTCACTGTTTTCTTCCCTCTGGCCACAGACACTTTGGCTGCACTTGCCCAGCTGCCAGGCACTGTGCAGAGAGTTCAGTGTCCAGGGGCAGTTCAGGCAAGGAGTGGATTTGGCTGGCATTTCATGGCCAGAGCTGACATAGTAAATGTATATTTTTCACTGAAGAAACAGTGTTTTCTGGACTCAAGGCAAACAGCAGGTCTCTCTATAAGGGCACCTGTCTGGGTTTGTACTGAGGAGTCCCAGGAGTGCCTAAGAGGCATCACCCCCATCAGCCTTACTGTCCAATCAAAGTACAGCAACAGCCCAGAGACTGACCCCCATGTGAGAGCCAAGCAGGTGTCCAAGATGCAAGGCTGCAGTGGGTACAATCTCTGTAGAGGCAACCTTCCAACTCTCCTCCTTAAGAGTTGGAGGGAGTTAAGGAGCAGGCCGTGGGCGCTTGCTCATTCTCTCTCTGGTTATCTTGGAAGGGAAGGTTAGTGAGGGCGCCTCTAGGACAGAAAGTCGCTGGCAGAGACCTTTGGCTGGGGACTGGAGTCCAAAGCTTGGCTGGGGAAGAAGACCCTTTTCCCTAAGGAAATTTACTCTGTAGGATTTGAAGCAGTCATGTGGTTTCTCCCTCTTCCTCCTCCTATTCCACCACCCCAAATGCCCCTTTAGGCACCATCAAGGAAAGGGGTGGGGCCTGCCATGTCGAGCTGTATTCTGGGGATGTCCAGGAGGACAGTGTAGTAAGAGGAGAAGGCCCCAGATTTGGCCAAGCCATTCCAAGGGCTCTAATATAGGAGTCTGAAGAAAGATGAACTCAAGTGCTGGAAGTGGAGGCAGCTTGCCACAGTCAGTTAAGGACAAACAAATCTCAAATTGTCAATTTTACATGTGGCTTTGCACACTCTCACTGGGCTACATGTAGGGTCCTCTTCCAGGCCCTTCTGCTGGAGGTGTAGCACAAAACAAGCATAGCCTTCTAGGCACATTTCCCGGTGTCATCCTGCTCGCTGTCCATTATATTTAGTAAGTGGCCTCAGTGGCTTTAGGAGTTCAATGTAGCTTGTCCTTTCAATCATTGGGGCAGATCAATGAGGCATTGGGTGAAGTTCTGGTGAGCCAGTTGGAGGATAAAACTGTAGAACACAGGGTGAATAAAAGCAGGAGAGGCTGGGCACAACTAGAGGGGAATACAAAAGGGTGACCAGTTCATTCACGAGAACAGGCCCAGAAACCTGCTCTCTAGCTTGTGGCAAGACTGAGCAGAGTATATGCCAAGAGGACAGCTTTTGCTATCCTATCCTTTCCCAGGTGGCCTTGGCTGAGCACATGTTACTCTCTGATCATGGTTGCGAGATAGTCTAGAACTCTGCAGGTCTTCTTCAGGTTGGGCAGGTCTGGAACTCCCTTAAGGACTGGTCAGTACATGGGGCAAGTGTGGCAGCAATAGCAGGGGCAGGGGAGGCAGTAGAAGGGTGTGTTCCAGGTGGCCAGTTTGCCCCATCACTCACACGCGAATTCGGCCACGAGCAGCTCGGTGGCCCCCCTGTCTCGGAGTAAGGCGGAATAGCACCGGGGGACGTCTTCGAATTTGGCGTTGCCCCAAGCGACCAGCACGGCGAATCAGTGGTGGGGAGCTGTAGAATGGTGAATTGGTACCTGGAAGGCCCTCCAGAAGTGGAACTCGATTCTGGTTCCTCCGTCTGCTGGGCTGTATTATGGGAGGTGATGCACCCAGGAAATTCTCAGCATGGTAGCCAATGGTTGTGCTAATCGTCTGGGTTGAAGTGTCAACAAGAACAGGCTCCTCCATCTCCATCAGTTCTTCTATCACATGGATCCCATTGTGGTGGTGGTGGATGTGGTGGTGATGGTGGTGCTCATGGCCCATCTCACCAAACATCTCCTCAAACAACGGCACCCTCTCTTGCTCCTGTTCTGGCTCCTGCTCTGGTTCCTGGCTCCCCACCTCAATTTCATCTTCTTCCTCATCCTTATTCTCATTGTCATCCTCATTCTTCTTCATCTCCTCCTCCTCTTTCTGTTTCATCTCCTCTTCCTCCTCCTCTTCCTTCTCATCCTCATCTTCCTCACCCTCCTCATTTTCATCCTCATCCTCATCATCATCATCATCTTCATCATCATCATCGTCATCGTCATTGTCCTCCTCGTCCTCTTCCTCATTCTCTTTCTCCTTTTTCATTTCTTCCTCTTCCTTCCTCATCTTCTCCTCCTCCCTCATCTTCTCCTCCTCCCTCATCTTCTCCTCTTCCCTCATCTTCTCCTCCTCCTCCTCCTCTATCACCTCTTGCCCAAAAGCCCTTATGTCTTGGTCCTTCAGGGAAGAGCTGTGCCTGCATATCCCATCTTCATCATCCTCATGGTAGCGCTGTTCATCAATAATATCTTCCTCATCAGGGGTGGGAGCAAAAGGAGGGACGACATTGCGCACCCCAGGGAGCTTGATTGGCTTGGGAATGCGCACTTTTCTTTCTATCTCCACACACTCAAGAATCAGCTCATCCAGGTCGGCCATTTCAGTTGACCATAAGAGCTCCTTTCGGAAATATTCCGACAGGCCTTTGAGGAACTGATTTTGGAGGCGGCAGTCATCCCAAGACAAGAATTGGGCCAGGAACTGAAAAGCATCTGCATAGCTGCCCAGGGTACACTTTCCCTGCTTGAGCTTGCGGATGGCCTTTTTAGCCACTCGTGGGGGTATGGGGCCACGGAATTCCTTACGGATTTCATCCAGGAAGCGCGGGAAGTTGGCATGCAGGGAGCTTCCTTCCTGGGTGACAGAGATGGCCCAGTCCCTCGCTTCACCAGTGAAAAAGGAGATCAGAAAGGCCACCCGCTCAGCACCCCCAGGGAAATGATCCTCATGGTCAGCTATGAAGGTCTCTAGCTGCATCAGGAATTCAGCCAGGTAGACTGGATCGCCAGAAAAGAGCCGTATGTTAGGTCTCTCCAATGGTGGCAGAAGGGGCTGGGGCTGGGGCTGGGGCTGGGTCTGCGGCTGGGGCTGGGTCTGCGGCTGCGGCTGGGGCTGGGGCTGGGGCTGCGGCTGCGGCTGCGGCTGCGGCTGCTGCTGCTGCTGCTGCTGCTGCTGCTGCGGGGGCGGCTCCTTTGACGCTGGGGGAGAGGGCTGCTCCGGCGGGGGTGGGCTGGGCGGCAGAGGAGGATCACTGACCCCGTGGGGGTTGCTGTAGTCCTGGATCACGTTAATCAAAAGATCATCCGAGACAAACTCGGGATCTGTGCGTTGGTTAGGCCAGCACAAGAAGGGCCCCTCTCCCTCGGGAATGGCGTCGATCTCATTGAGCGGGAACTCAAAGTTCTCCTCGGCAATAAGGGGTACTATGGGCACTGGCCAGCGGACGTAGCTGGAGACATTGCCCCGCAAGGAATTAACCTCGGCCAGGGCTCTTCCCAGCTGAAGGCCCAAATTGGCATTCTCCCCGCGAAGGGCATTTAATTCTTCTCGCAGGGCCACATTCGCCATGCGGAGGCTATTGAGATTTCCTGCCGCCTCGGACATCTTGACTAGCTCAGGGGCTCGGTCTCCGGCAGTGGGGGCGGGGAGCTAGGGGCCCGGGGAGGAGGCCGAAATGTAGCGGCGGCGAGCGAGAGGAAACCGAAGTGCGGTAGTAGGGCACAGGGCAGGCCGGGCCACACCCACCGGGGCGAGCACTGAGGGCAGGCGCTCGGGGCGGAGGGCCCGGCGGCTTGGCCCTGGACGCGTTACCTCAAGGCCGGGGTCGAAGAGAACAAGCGGGAGCGGCGGTGCAGGACCAGGAAACACAGGCAGAGGACACAGGAGACGCGGCGGCGGCTACTGCCGGGAGGGCGGAGGAGGGTGGTGCGGGAGGGAGCAGACTGCGGCAGGATCTGTCGAGGAAAAATATTGCGGACAGCGATTCCCTGCCTTTTAAGCGCAGCCTCACGCTCCCCCCCCCCCGGCAGGGGCGGGTCTTCAGGAAACGCGGGCGCCCACTGGCCGAGGAGCGCCGCTCCCCACCCCCTCCTCAGCTGCGCCTCTCACTGACTCTCTCCTTCCCTAGCTGCAGCTAACTCGAGTCGGGAAAATGCGACAGCGACTGCCCACTCGAGGTCGTCATGGCGACAGCCAGTGAACGTGTTCCTCTCCTCTGGCAGGCCCCCGAGTGTAGAAGAGCTGCTTCGCGAGGCGCAGCTCAATCTCCAGAGCCTGTTGCAAGGTACTGAGAGGGAGGGGGGCTGCGGCCGGAGCCCAGAGGCGAGCTGCGAGCTGCGCAGCAGCAGGAGAAAGGAAAAGAAGAGGACAGGGACCATCGAGAGAAAAATGAACAGTTTCAAACCTATCAAAAAACAAAGCACATGTTCTCTATCTTCACCTTACAGACTGATTATTCTTAAACATTTTATTTCCATGTCTGTCTCCTGCTCCTCTGTTTTCAGTTCAGTAGTCCATAGGTGCTGGGATGGACAGAGGCTAAGGCAAAGCAGTGGGGCAAACCCTTCATAAAGAGATCTTGGTGGGAGATTCCCACAATGCAGGCCCACATTCCCCCCAACCATCTTCTTGACTCATCGCCCATGCCTCTGGAATCCTGGCATCAGGAAACAAAGGGGGCATCTGTGGGGTCTCCCATTCTGGGCTTCACTCACTCTGCTCTTACAATAACTTTGCCCACATGCCTCCTGCTTAGCAACTACCTCACTAGTACCTCACTAGCCCACTATACAGCAGACTCCCCCTGTTTCGTACTCTTAACCAGACTGAGTTTCCTCTCCATGTGAATCACATCTCTGGGCTGCGGATGTAGCACATTGGCAAAGGCTTGCCTAGCATTTGCCAGGTCCTGGGTTCTATTCACAGCATCTCAAAAAAAAATCACATCTCTTACTACTCATGGGTTTCCAGAAGCCCCTGATGCAGGGCTGGATCCCCCAAGACATGCCTGGTGGATGCTAAATGCATAGAGGTCTTGTGTCAGCTCTTGTTTATCTATACCAACAACAGTTAATGCCAATGAAGAATAAAAAACAGCCAGTGGGCCTCCCAACTGGACTGTAGCCATAACCTCCACCTCCCTACTAAGGCAGTGGTGACCTTAGAGAAGCGAGGTGCTGAGGGACACCATGAGCCTTGTGTTCAGATAACAAGAAGCTGCCATGCAGAAAAAAAAGAGTCGGTGTTCTCTGTGTTGCTGCCATGGGCAAAATTAGGACCAGTGGTTAGAAATTCAGAGGGAGGCAGATTCCACCTCCAGATAAAGAAGAACTTTTCTGATATGCTTGACTGTCCATGGAGGGAATGAGCTGCCCTTGGGAGGGAGTGAGTTCCCCTTCCCTGCAGGTATGTGCTCTGATGCTGAAAGAGCACATCGGGGCTGGGGTTCTGACTCAATGGTAAAGCGCTTGTCTCACATGTGTGAGGCACTGTGTTCAATTCTCAGCATTGCGTATAAATAAATGAATAAAATAAAGGTCCATAAAAAGCCATTTAAAAAAAGAGCACATAGAAGGGCTGCTGAGGAGGAAGTCTGAACACAAAATTGAGTGTTGGATTAAAGAACCCTAAGAGCAAGCCCAAGTTTCCATGATTCTAAGTCTTTGTCCAAAGTATAGAGAGCCATGAATGTTTGTTCTTTTACTGTCTCTTCCTTCATTTATTCATCTGCGTCATCTCTTCAGTCAAATCCATTCAAATCTCATTCATCCTTATTCCCTGGTGATGCCCCTGAACTTGGCCCTCTTCTATGATGCTACCTTCTCCTTTCCTCTTCTTCCCCTTAGCCTTCCTAGACATGACCCCACCCACAGTGGAACCAGATCTATACAAGCTCAAGTAAGAATTCTTGTCATCCAGGAAAGAGCTCCAGACAGGACTTTACAGTTTAGATCTCTCCTTGCTTCACGTAGATCTTTCCTTGCTAGAGTTGCGGAAAATCTGAAGAGCTATAGGGCTTCAAACAAAGGACCTTGTAGCAAAAGGTATCTGCATCCTGAGCCACTACTCTGATTTGAGAACTTAAGGTAGAGGCCATCAGATGAAGACTTGGTGCCTGAAGCGACACAGCTCAGATTTATTGACTTTCTTTTCTCCTCTGCCCTCATGGAAGCAGGCATCTTTCTATTTCCAAATCCAGTGGCTCCAACACCAGGAATAGTCCAAAGAAAGAACATGAGTCAGGCCTGGCAGCTAGTGCAGGAGCCCTGGCTTGTGGTCCTCCCCGAGCCCAGTGCTTGGCTTGGCCCCCTAGAGTGTGTCTCCACTGTGCTATTTTTCAGAAGAATATGAGGAACAGTACTCGGAAGCCAGACTTCTGGGGCAGACCTTCCGCTCTTCTGATGAGGCCCCTGAGCCCACCCCCAGCTCAAGGCCCCAGTCTGCCAAACGTCTGGAATTTGTGTTGATGGTGAGTTGCCTCTTACCCCACCTGGGAGAGCCAGCCTGCTTCCACTGACAGGGGACCTCCAGCTGCTTACATTGCCCACTGGAAGCTACTGCTCACCTCTGCTCACCAGCAGAGTTCTCTGAGGCCCCACTGGATGGGCCCTGCACAGCAGGCAACCTGCAGGCAACCTGTCCACGCTTTTCTGCCTCCCAGATGAAGTCTCCAACCACTCTGCCTAAACAGTCATCCTATGGGCTCTGGTTCATCACCAGTCTGTAGCACACCCTTTCCATCACCTTCTCTCCCAACAGCCTACAAAACGGCAGCTGAGTGAGGATGAGACTACCACCCAGGGTGTGAGGGCCCCTGAGGCCTCCCTGAGCCTGTCTACAGCCGACAAGCCAACTGCCTGGAATGGCCCCTTCCCTCTGCCCATCCTAGAGGAAAAGCGGTGGCCTCAGCCCTGCTCCACGCAGTCTGATCTTGTGCCCATCAACATCTCTGGTAGAGTTGCTTAGCACCACCTGTTTGCTTCCCTCCATGCCACTACAGCCCATCCTCTCCAAATGCACTGGGTTCTGGGGAGGGAGGGCCACTGTCTTGCTACTGGCTCACCCTGCACTGTCACAGTCACGGCTCTCACTAGGGAATGGAGGCATGCAGAAGGGGGACTCTGGCTGCTCTCCTTCACTCCCTATCGTCACTGCCACTCTAGCTGATGCCATTTGATAGCAAACAAAATTTTCTTAAAACAGAAAGCTCTAAAACTTTGTGAACTTGGATGTTCTTCAGAGCATATATGGAAACTTAAACTTTGGGAGTTCTGTTTGGTTTGGAGAAAGACAATGTCATGTGCACAAAGCTAGGTCTGGAGTATAAACTGAAGGCAGAGTGGGAGGGTAGGAGTCAGAGGACTGATGGTAAGAGGGGAGGGTTACCCAGGCACAGACCAAAAGCCCTTTCCCACACACTAGGTCTTCTGGCAAGGTGGGCCTCCTCAACTTATTTGGCAAATTTTTCAAGAGAAGGAAATAGTAAGCCTGGCACAGTGATGCACACTTGCAATCCTTGCTACTTGGCAGGCTGAGGCAGTAAGGATCATGAGTTCTAGGCCAGTCTCAGCAAGTTAGCAAAACTCTGTCTCAAAACTAAAAAAAAAAAAAAAAAAAAAAAAAGCAAAAGGGCCAGAGGTTGTAGCTTAGTGGTAGAGTGCCCCTGAGTTCAATTCCCAGTACCACTAAAGAAATAAAAAAAGAAAAGGATGTAGTAATAGAGACTAAGGCAAAAAAGACCAAAAGGGACCCTGGGACAACCTTGAGAGTGGGGAAGTAATCTTTATAGCCCAGCTGGCTGTGACTCTGGGGGTCTGTGGCATCCTCTGCAACATTGGCTCTAAGGGGAAGAGGAAGAGAACCAGTCATGACAGAAGAGACAGGGCCAGGGACCTGATGAAATCAAGACCTTAGTGACCCAAAGGAATCAGAGGGAAACTTCAAGCCAGCACAAGCCCTGCTATGCTGGAACAAGTTTATGAAGACAATGAGGACAGCTCTGACCACATGTGAGGTTGTTCCCTGGATAAGGGAACATCCTTTGCAATTAGAGTCATCTTGGGGAATGAAAGCTAGGAAGTAGAGCCCATCACCTAGGGAAATATGCCAGAGGAATAAGGGCTGATGAGGAGAGACTCACAAAGTGATATTGGGCACTCTGTTTCTAAATGACTATCTTACTGACCCCGAGTTTTGCCCACAGAGCCACTTGCTGCTGTGTATCTGTATGTTTGTGTGTGTATGTGCATGCATACATGCACACTCACACATACAACTGTGTGGCTGAGAGGGGACGATCTACTAAGCCAGTTACTGAAAGAGAGACAGGGAGAGGGGAACTGCGTACCTGCTTCCACAGCATTGCCTCACCCCCACTTTGCCCCAGCAATTTCACAGAAGCCAAAGACTGACCCAGAACTTTAAGAGAGCTAGGGCTCAGCTGGGTATGGCGGTACACATTTTTAATCCCAGCTACTCAGGAGGCTGAGGCAGGAGAATCATAAAATCAAAGCCAACCTTGACAATTTAGTGAGACTCTGTCTTAAAATATAATAAGAAAGTATAGGGGTGTAGCTCCTAGAGTGCTTACCTAGTGCAAGACTCCAAATTCATTCCTAGCACTGCAAAAAAGACCATTGCAAAAAAACAAAAAAAGAAAAGAAAAAAAGAGCCAGCAGGAGTGTGGGGGATAACATCACCATGCAGCAGCCAATTTTGGTAAAAATGTGACCAGGAGACTGTGGAACAGAATATCAGGCTGTTTCCTAGATGGTGGAGGGGGAGCAGTGGACAGCTTCTTGGAGACACTGGCCTCACCTGGCCCCCTATAAAGACTTTCTCACAAGATATCACAGTCAAGCAACATCTAATCTCAGACAGTCACTCTGCACTAATGGTTTTCACTCCTGACTGTACATCTGAATAACTGCAGGAGGGGTTCTAGAAAATACTTCTTTCTACTTGGGCCTTACTCTCACAGAGTGAAGTAAGTGTTCTAGAGTGGATTCCAGGCCTTGGAAGATTCAAAGGCTGCCCAGTTTATTTCAGAATGAAGTCAGGGTTGAAAACCATTGCCCTAATCCACCTAAGATTTAAAGGTGACCTGGATGCAGCCTGTGAAACAGCATGTGTCCCTTGCACCAAATAGGGAAGGATAGGGAAGAAGTGCCACCACCTGGATGCTATTCATGCTCATTGCTACTGCCGTCATCCCTTCTCTCTACCTCAGGCCAGTTTCACTGTACTTTAAAGAGAAACCAGGATGCACCCAAGTGTCTTTATTTTGGCTACAGGACAGCAGTTTGATAAACATGCAAGTTTGCGACACTCGTTGTTTAACACAGAAACAGCCGTGAACCCCAAGTCCACCCTGAGGCGGAGGCGGACCATTATTGGATTCTCTAACTTTTCCCAGCGAGACCAAGGTGACCCCACCACAGCAATCCCCCAGAACCTTCCCCTCTTCCACTTCCACCGGTCCTGCCACCCAAGTGGCATTGTGGTTTTGGGGAACAGTAATAATTCAAAGGGGTGGGACTTTAGACATCCTGAGAAAACCAATGTGGTAATTAAGGATAGCCAGGAGAGTCTTGTCAAGGGCATCAACTGAATAAGGAGAGCATGTTCCCAGAACTCATTTGCTCATTACATTATTGTTTTCCATTATAAATGTAATGTATCTGGGTGCGGTTGTGCACACCTGTAATTCCAGATGCTCAGGAGGCTGAGGCAGGAGAATCATTAAGTTCAAAGCCAGCCTCAGCAAACGTGAGGCGCTAAGCAACTCAGTGAGATCCTGTCTCTAAATAAAATACACAATAGGGCTGGGGATGTGGCTCAGTTGTCGAGTGCCCCTGAGTTCAATCCCAAGTACTCCCCCACATAAATAAATAAATAAATGTAATGTGACCACATATGCCAAATTTAAACAAATAGATAAACAGGGTGGGGTGGGGGATCACCACCAAAACCACCTCTTCACTGAACCATTATTACCAAATGCTTCCCAAGAGCACAGACCCAGACTGGAATGTCAGTGGTAGAACACTCGCCTAACATGTGCAAGGCCCTCAGTTCCCAGAGCCACAAAAAATAAAATAAAATAAAATAAAACACACACACCAGAAAGATGGATGTGATCACTTACTAACCATGAGGCCTTGTCCAAGTTACATAACCACTCTGAGCCTCACCTTCTTCATCTGTAAATTGGGGATAATGATACTGACCCAGTTGAGTCATTATGAGGATTAGACTTTTTTGTGTAATCTGCCTAACATGTGCCTGGTATATAGTCAACTTTCAACAAATGGTGGCTATTTGTACAAATTCTAGCAGAAGTAATAATAATGATGATACAATAGTCATAATTGTGTATATGAGAAAAACCTCTGGAGATTTGCAACACCTGAGCAGTTTCCTCACATCTATAGGTTATTCTGAGTCTTTTGCGTTGCAAAGGTAAAAAACAACAAGTGCCAAAAATGCAGTTAGGCTCTGGGCATTCCACCTCTGGCATATTCCACACTCGCTGCTAGAGCTGCAAGTTACACAGTGCTGTCCTTAGTCAGTTTGGAAGCCTTTGCTCTCATGTCAGGATTGACAGACACTGGGGGCTGTGATGGTTTCATGAGCCTGGGGAGAAAGTATGGGAAAAATTCAAGGTGTTCCCATGGGATTCTTCCCCTCTAAAGGGAATCATCAAACCTGGAAAATCTTTGGCAGCCATCTGGACGATTCAGGGGTACCCTGACTCACTTGTGGCCATGGGCAGGAACCCAAATTCCCCAGCATCCTCATCTATGAAAAGGAAGAACCAAGGAATTGTGAGCAAGCTGTTGGTAAATGCTTCTTGGCAAAAAGTTGGTGCTCCTGTCTCAAAACAGCTGATGGGGGATCCCTTGCTATACCCCTAATGTTCTGTGCTTTCTTCCTGCAGGTCACAGCAACAGCCCGGCAGGCAGTGTGGCTCGACCTATCACCTCAGACACCAGGCCTGGCCACTCAGCTCCACAAAGTGTTCATGGAAGAGTTGCTGTTGGGCAGGAAGCTTGGTTCCCAAATCTCTCCTCTCCAGGACTGAGAAATCCATCTAGTGAGCCCGAAGACCCTCACCAGGCACTTGGTGGCCCAGACCCTCCTGGCATGGAGAGCATGGGAATGGTGTATAGTGTCCCCAGTTCTTGCAATGGACCAACAGAATCAACGTTCTCTGCTTCCTGGAAGGGAGATGCTTTTACCTACATAACTCCAAGTGCCACCAGCCAGAGCAGTCAAGTCAATGAAAATGGAAAAAATCCTTCCTCGGGGAATTCTTGGGTCTCTCTGAATACACTTCCACCTCTGGTTCCTAAAGAAGCAGCTTCCCTTTTTGTCACCCGCGATAACCCAGCAGGGTGCAGTGGGTTAACTGGCTACTCTGAGCACCCTACTCAACGAAGGCAAGTGCCAGAAAGACCCCCTAAGATTGGCCTTCTGACTGGTGGTACCTCAAGGCTTGAGACAGGCCCAGGTGGGACCAGCAGATTTCGGGAGCGGTCATTATCTGTGCCCACAGACTCAGGAACCACAGATGTAGACTACGAAGAAGAACAGAAGGCCAGTGAGGCCTGTGCTCTGCCTTATGCCAGTACAAGCTCTGAGGGCAGTAACAGTGCTGACAACATTGCATCCCTTAGTGCTGAGCAGGAGGCCCGTCACAGAAGGCAGAGATCCAAGAGTATCTCACTCAAGAAGGCCAAAAAGAAGCCTTCTCCACCAACACGCAGTGTCTCACTGGTCAAAGATGAGCCAGTCCTCTTGCCAGAAGGTGGATCAGCATTGCCCAAGGACCAGAGGCCCAGGAGCCTTTGCCTCTCTTTGGAACACCAAGGACATAACCCATCCCATCCAGATGCTCAGGGTCACCCAGCTGTGCCAACCCTCAAAGATTCAGAAGGTACACAATTCTCCCACCACTGGTATCTTACTGACTGGAAGTCTGGTGACACCTACCAATCTTTGTCTAGCTCCAGCACTGCCACTGGCACCACAGTCATTGAGTGTACCCAAGTTCAAGGCAGCTCAGAATCTCTTGCCTCTCCTTCCACCTCCAGAGCCACGACACCTTCCCAACTCTCCATCGAGGTGGAGGCCAGAGAAGTATCCTCCCCAGGAAGGCCCACTGGACTGATGTCACCTTCCAGTGGATACTCCAGCCAGTCAGAGACACCAACACCCACTGTCTCCATGTCCTTGACCCTGGGCCACTTACCCAGTTCAAGCAGCAGTGTCCGGGTACGTCCAGTGGTACCTGAAAGAAAGTCATCACTACCCCCAACATCACCAATGGAGAAAATTTCCAAGTCACGGCTATCATTTGACCTACCATTGACCTCTTCAGCCAACCTAGATCTGTCTGGGATGAGTATCTCCATCCGCAGTAAAACCAAGGTGAGCCGCCATCACTCAGATACCAATTTTGGGGCCAAGCTGGCACAGAAAACTAGTCCCAACCAGCCAGTCATGCCCATGGTTACTCAGTCTGACTTGCGTTCTGTTCGTCTGAGGTCAGTCAGCAAGTCTGAGCCAGAAGATGACATTGAGAGCCCAGACTATGCTGAGGAACCCACAGCAGAAGTCTTCACCTTGCCAGAAAGAAAGGTGAAACCTCCTGTAGCTGAGAAGCCTCCACTGGCCCGAAGGCCTCCAAGCTTGACCCATAAACCACCATCTGTCCCAGAGGAATACCCACTAACTTCACCTGTGACCCCCAAGAATGCCATTCAACCTGTGAGGCCGCTCCCCCAAGACAGCTACACGGTGATGCGGAAACCAAAGCCCTCTAGCTTCCCTGATGCCCGGAGCCCAGGGGAGTCAACAGGACCCTCATCTCTTGTTTTCACGCCTTTTGCCAGTTCCTCTGGTGCTTTCTTCTCAGGAACACAGCAACCTCCCCAGGGATATATGGGGGACGAAGGCCTCAAGGTGAGAGCCCTGCCTGAAAGAATTAGCCTCCAGAGCCAGGAAGAAGCCGAGAGAAAGACGGGCAAGATTCCACCTCCTGTACCAAAAAAGCCCAGTGTGCTGTACCTGCCTCTCACTTCTCCAGTAGCTCAGATGGAGGCCCATGTGGCAGAACCAAGACTGCCTCTCAGTCCCATCATCACCCTGCAGGAAGATACCAAGTGTCCCCCCATCAGGGATGACCTGCCTGGTAAAAGGACAACTTCAGCTCCAAAGTTTGACAGTGAAAAGGAGGCAAGCTCTCTGGGTTAGTAAATTGCCCATGGGCTTTTTCTTTTAATCACAGGAGGGATGTGGGTGAGGATGGAGTACCCAAGGAAGAAGCAGATGCCCCAGAATGCTTATCCTCATCCCAGGATAACCAAATCAGTAGGAACACCTCTTGAGGATTTGGGTTATTCTGAATAGGAATTGTAGGCAAGTAGGCCTTACTGTCCTTGGGGTCAGGACTGATCTAGGGAAGATCTCCAAAGTCAAGTCTGGATGAGTCTACCCTTGATTCAGGTGCTGAGATAATGAAATCAAACTAGCCCCTAGGACACTAGGACATCAGGATCTACTCACCAGGCATGCATCCCCTGCCTAGCATTCTATCTCACTGAACAGTACTTATCATTACCCACTAAATGTAATTTCATGCAGGGGACTCAGTACACTCACAGATCAAGTTCAAGTGCCATGGCTGGCGTGCAGGCTTCTAAAACAATGAATTCTATCACCACCAGTAGCCTTTCTTGGTGCCATCAAGAGGTATACACTTACTTGGAACCATAAGAGCTAGTTAATGATTCACATCCTTTTTGTTTGTTTCTCACTTTTTTTTTCTTTCTTTCTTTCTTTTTTTTTTTTTTTTTTTGCACTAGTAGGAATTGAACCCAGGGGTTCTCTCCCACTGAGCTGCATCACAAGTCCTTTTTTATTTTTTTGTTTTGAGACAGGATCTTGCTATGTTACCCTGGCTGGCTTCAAATTTGCCATCCTTCATGTCTCAGCCTCCTGAGTAGATGGCATTACAGGCGTGTACCATTGTACCTGGCTAATTTCCATCTTTTAGTTTCAATTGTAAAATGCACATAACATTTACCATCTTAAGCATTTTTTTGTGGTAAATGAGGATTGAACCCAGGGCCTCAAGCAGACAAGGCAAGTACTCTACCACTCAGCTACATCCCCAGCACCCATCCTAACCATTTTTAAGTATGCATTGCTTTAGGGTTAAATGTATTTGTATTGTTGAGACACCCATCTCCAAAACCCTTTTCATCTTGCAAAAAACGAAAATCTATACCCATTAAACAACACTTATTTTCCTCCTCCCCCAAGGCCATTGCAACCACCATTCTACTTTGTGGGTCTATGAATTTGGCTACTCTTGATATCTCAAAGAAGTAGAATCATACAGTACTTGTCTTTTTTGTGACTGGCTTATTTCATTTAATGTCCTCAAGGCTCATCCATGTTTCTCATCTTTTTAAAATCCTTAACAACAAATCTCACAATCTCATGACCTTCTAAAACAAGCAAATAAATCAAAGTCACGGGTTATTTTATAATGTTACCTGAAGCTGGGTGTGGTGGCACATGTCTGTAATCCCCAGCAATTCAGGAGGTTGAGGCAGGAAGATTGCAAGTTTGCGGCCAGCCTCAGTAACTTAGCGATACCATCTCAAAATAAAATAAAATAAAAAGGGATGGGGATGTAGCTCAATGGTAGATCACCTTTGAGTTCAATCTCTAGTACCACAAAAAAATGAAAAAGAGAATATGCTTCCTCATACTCTACAGGTTCCTGCTGAGATTCAGACAGGTCCCACTTTCACCCACTGGATAAGAGTCATTCCTTAAGCTTGCTCTTAGTTCCTTGAGTTTTAAAAATGGAGAGCATCATATTAAATGAATTAAGCTAGACTCATAAATACAAGGGTTATATGTTTTCTCTCATTTGTGCAAGTTAGAGAGAAAAGGGATATCATGAAAATAGAAGGGAGACCAATAGAGTAAAGGAAAGATCAGGAAGAGAGAAAGGAATGGCAAGATGAGGTAATAGGATTTCAGTTGAGCACATTGTGTGATATGGCCAGGAGCAGTGGTGCACACCTGTAATCCTAACTACTTGGGAAGCTAAGGCAGAAGGATCACAAATTTAGAGCCAACCTGGGCAACTTAGCAAGACCCTGTCTCAAAATTTTTAAAAAAATTAAAAGGGCTTGGGATATACTTCAGTGATCAAGCATCTCTGGGTTTAATCCCCAATACCAGAAAAAATGATGTAATGTGCATGTATAAATATGCCATAATTAAACCCTCTATTCTGCATAATTATTACACACCAATAAAAAATGATGTATTTAAAATGAGAGGTGCCAGGGGTGTAGCCCAGTTATAGAACACTTATCTAGCATGTGTGAAACCTTGGGTTCCATCCCTAACACTGGAACAATATATATATATATATATAAGTAAATAAAAATTAGGCTGAAATTGTTGCTCAGTGATAGAGTGCTTGCCTAACATGTATGAGGCACTGTGTTCAGTACTCAGCACCACATGAAAATAATAAAATAAAGGTATTGTGTTTATCCACAAGTAAAAAAAATATTTAAAAAAATAAAAATTAAAATAAAACAAGAGAATGCTTAGACCACCTGTTGTCATGAAAAAGGAACATGAAAACAGTGACCCAGAGCAATCTTCACCACTCACTCTACCTTAGGCAAATCATTCTTCTTAACTTCATGTTCCTTCTCTGCAAAACGAAAGCATTATAAATCTCCACCCTGCTGCCCTTCCATAGTTACTTTGAACATCACATGAAATAAACATATGAGAATGAATGTGATGAAATAAACATATAAGAATGAATGTGATTTGTCCTATCTGTTGTGGTCAAAGTCATTCATTCCTTCTGGTTCTATGCCTAGGGAGTTCTGTGGAGCCAAGCACCGAAGAGAAAAGTTTAATCAGTGATAAAACAGCCGAATGGATTGCGGAGGAGGATGATGACGTGTTTGTGGCTTCACGCACAACTGAAGATTTATTTACTGTGATACACAGGTCTGAACCATTTTCCTTCATTCTATTGCAGTCCCTTTTTCTACTTAAAGAAAAACTGCTGCCTCTAAGCAGCCATTACAATTGCAACTGGAGACTACATTCAGATACTCACATATGTGAGTGCAGTCCAGGGCCTCACATCTCAAATTTACTGACATCTTTGGGTAAAGTGGAGGAGGGGAAGGGAGGGGAAAACCAGGTGCTGAGTGAGAGGCCCCTCGTCTCCTAGCAACCGCTTGGCCTATTGTGGCTCCATCTGCTCTCTCACAGCTCTGTCTACAGTCAGAGACATTTAACCCTTCACAGAATTCCTTGTACCACAAAATCCTATCAAGAGATGATGTGGGGCACTTAGGCAGCATATCAAAGCAGGAACATAGGCAAAGGGGGAGTACATGAGGCACAGGGGCACAAGGCAGAGAGGGGCTTGGTGACAAGGAACCTGGAAAGAACCCAGTTACCAGAGCCTGAGCACCAATTCAGAACAGAATCAGTCCCAAGACTGTCCTGATTCAGTCACTGAGCTACTAGCCTAGACTACTTGCATTTGTCCTTGGTCCCAGAACCTGGGCAGGACTGAACCTGCAGGCACAGGCCGAGGTTCAGTGGACACTGAAGGGCATGTGGAGAATGCGGTGGGAGCCAATCAGGGATTTAAGGGCTTAGAGGTAGGAGAGAAAGCCAGTCAATACACTTTCAAGACTACCATGTACACATTCTCAGCTGCATCACTATGAAGTTTTGGTAAATGTCTGCACCCCAAATTCACTCAGACCAAGCTTTCTCTTATTTAGGTCCAAAAGAAAACTGCTTGGCTGGAAGGAGCCTGGAGAGGGTTTTGCCAGCAGCAGACCAAGCTCTCACTCACCGGTAAAGAACACAGCTGATTCTCCAATCAGTGAGCCTGCCACCACTGCAGGGTCAAGCGGCATTGCCAGCCTAGATGCTGGCAGAAATGATGATTTCAAGGCCTTGCTCCTGAAGAAGGGAAGTAAGGCAGCTCCAAGGTCCCGCCCCTCAGCAGCTGAACTGCTGAAGACCACTAACCCACTGGCTAGGAGAATTATTGCACAGTTTTCAAAAGACTATGAAAACACCGATAACTCCAGTACCTAAGCCCTGGGTTCAACAAACAGGGTTTACTTACTAAACTTGAGTAGAGAAGGGGGAAGAGAAAGGGTTATAAAAAGGAACCATGGAAATCACAAAAGAGCCTACATTTCTTTTACATTAACTCACACTCTGGCCAGCAGGAAAGAGGCTACTTCAACTAGAACTGAAGTTGTAAGGCGCTGGAATGGTCTTTAAACATTTGCATTTCCTTAATTACACCCTCACCATGACTGGTTACTGGGTTTCTTCTTATTTTCCCCCAGTGGTGTGCACTGACTAAGGAGGAATTCTCAGAAGCAAAGGTTGTGCCATCTTTTTCATGTCACCTTTTCAATTAATGTCCTGGCTGCTCCAGCCCTGGCTCCTGCCACTGGCAGCCGCAGTAGGAGAGCAGAAAGGGGGTTGTCAACCCCTTGGGGGTGGGGCCATCAGGTGCCATTGCTGATTATTCATTCTCATGAGGAGGCCTTGACAAACCTGTATGGAGATACAGAAAAACTGTGAGGCCTCCTTAACCACAGTGTGATTCCTCCAGTGAGTTTTACAGGTGTGCACTTATTTCGGCATGGGGTTGATTGGATGGCTTTTGTGGTGCAAAATATGAATGTGACTCTATCCTGAAACTTCATGCCTTTTTCAGTTTGATTGTCTACACGGAGATCAGGGTGATGAGTTTCAATAAATGTATAGGACCTCCCAACATTATCTGGAAAAGGTCCTGACTGGGTGGATTTGGATGAACCAAGCTCAGCCAACAAACAAAGTAGCTGTTCCCTCAGATCTATCCAAGGTAACTCGCACGTGCGCCTTGAGGTCCTTCAAATGTCAGTCAACATGGATAGCTAAGATCTGTGCCCAGGTCATGCTGCATTCTAAGAATTCCTGTTTCATTTGCATATAGCATTCAGTACAGGAAGTAATTAGCTGAAGGGCCAGCATCATCAAAGGCTCAAGGAGAATAAGTGCATTTTTCCCCACACCATTCAATTCAGATGGCACTTTGTGGTTGGTTGGATTTTGTTTAAAGGAATTCTGACTCTATTCCAAAAACCAAGAACTTATAGATTAAAAGGATCTACCCAGAATCTTAAAGGCAACCTTGCAAGTTGCTATGGCCCATAATGCAAAAAGGGCTACTTTTTGCCATTTACAGTCTGCTGTTTGACCAACTTTCAGTTAACCATGCTCCGGGAGTACATAAGCCCTTGGGTAAATGGGATACTGAAAAGAGTTTTGGAACAGTGATTGCAACCCCTCCCCCATCCAAAGCAATCAGCCGCTAACTATTCTTTTCAGCTCAATTTTCTAAGCAGAGCAAGAGCAGTGATTCATTTGATTTCCATATCCCTAATTTCTGGGAGTTGAGGACAAAACAGGAAAAGCATTGAACAGAGAAAACCTACTGACCAATGTTGGAAAGTTTTAATTGTCTACCGGTCCCAAGAGGCAAAAAAGAAAGTCAAATGAAATTGTAGCCTGCTTCACAAAGAGGGTTCCCAGACCCCTTCCTCCTTTATGCTCACCCTACAGATTCATTTGTCAACTTCCTGGAAGATGCATCAAGAGTTCCAGTGACAAGCAGATCTCAATTTTGATAGGACACTCTTCACCAATGAGAAGCAAGTTCTTAGCTCAACTGTCCACACTCCAGTTGGACAGAGAAACTGAAAACCCACTTTAAGTGCTAAGAAGACTCAGGCTTCTCACATAGAAGCCCTAGGCCTAGGCTACTGGTTGGTCCAATTATGAATTCTAGACTAATGGGAGCAGCCAGGCTCACCAACTCCCTTGCAATCAGCAACTCTCCCGATTTAGAAAGAAGCCACTGAGAATGGTAGACAGCTGGTCAAAGTCCAGTTGCTTTTGAAAGTATTTGAACTATCTGGTTTGAAGTTTCTGGGGGGTTGCCAGAAATGAAATAAAATAGATTCATCCTTGGCCTTAGTTTATATATGAATGCTACACTTATCTGTCCTGAACTCAGAATTCCAAATGATGGAAACATTTTGCTCTGGAAGGAAATGAAGGAGTGTTTGTGTTTTTGCCTAACAAAAGTGAAAGGCTGCCAGGGCCTGCTCCTTGGGAACCATTATGAACAGCTGAACTCTAAAGTATGAGAGTATAATATAGGACTTATTACTTCTGCTGTTTTTTCTGGAAGCTTCTTGTTTGTGAGTTCTAGTGGGTTTTGCCTCTCCCTTTGCCTTGCTACCTATGGAGATATTCCCTAAAGTTTCTAAAGCTAAATGCCCAGACACTTTGGTGTTTTACAATTTCTGTGATCCTTGTTTTCCTCTACAGAACTCCATATGCCTAGAATTTTTTTAATATCTTTGTGTCATTACCATGGCCCACACATGTCCCCATTAGCACAAGAGGATTTGGGAGCAGAGATTGTATGGTGAGAGACAACATTTAGGACTGGAAATATTCATTTAATATTTTGCAAAAGATGGATCTAGTCCCCCAAAAACCAAACCATAAATCTTCTACAATTCATTGATTTAATTAATACCAAGCATCTTTTCTTCTCCTAACACTCAACCTCTCTCCTGCCCTTATCACTTTTTTGTGGTGCGAGGATCAAACCCAGGACCACATGCATGCAAGGCAAGTGCTTTACCACTGAGCTATATCCCCAGCCCTGCCTTGATTACCATAGCACTGATTTTCTCTCCCACCCAGGCATTTACCACCATGTTTGCCACCTTCTGGGCCTACTCTGCTGAGGCTGGAGAACAGAGAGAAAAATCCCCTTCCAAGAAGGCTCTCAGTAAAGCTACTACCACTGCTATGACTATTATGAATAATAATGAGAATAATTTCCAAAAGTGGAATATTGAAGAGGTTGGAGGGAAGTGAAGCTGGCCCCAAGATGTCAGTTTCCAACTTCAACCCTCTTTATCCCCACCAGTAGTAGTAGGTGGCTTTGGTCTTGTCATGAGCAGAGGGAGCCATCCCCAAAGAGGCAGTTAATTGGTATCTCAGAATGCTTTGCATGTAGTGGGGATTCATTACATATTTGTGGTTCTAATGTGGACATTAGTAAGTTCTTAGTTCAAATGCAGGCTTTGCTGGTGCCTCCTCTCTTTTGCTTGTACTACTTGGACTGCCTGGGCCTCCCACCTGGCCCCAATTTGTCCCTCACCCCCAACACCCATGAACTACAGCCCTAGATAACAGCTCAACCATGAAGGACACAAGGCTACAGGCAGCCAATAGTTCACATTGGTTTAATGACCACAAGTTGACCGGCTGATAATGATCTGGAGAAATTACCACGAATGAATAATGACAACAGTCTCCAAAGCTGTCCTAACAAGCATTTTTGTTTGACATCCACTTTAACTATCTAGACAACACAGATCCGATTGTACCTATCTCTCTGAGCAGATCTGCCCATAAACCTGTCTTCTTCCTCATCCTGGAACTAGTCAGGAAAAAAAACAATTTCATGCTCAGTGTTGCTCCTCACTGGTTCAGCCTTCCATATTCACCAAGTCTGTGACACAAATGGTGAGCTTTCGCTTTAATATGATTTGCCAGGGCCAGGACTAGGGTGATGTGGGCGAAGCGCCAAGTAGGCGCCTGCCTGCTCTAAGGGCCTTGCAAGTGCCTTACCCTCGTCCGGCCCCGTGATTTGCACTCTTCAAAGTGATATCAGTTTCTCTTCTTCCACGTATTGTTCTGATTTGGGAAGCTAACTTCCTATCTGTTGTTGCACCAAATGTTTTATTGGTATCTGTTCTTTCATTCACTGCTAGAAGCCTTTGTATGCCTACGCATCACAGAATCTTCAGAGTTATCAAAAAACATAGTTGATTTCTAAGTAACCTGCTCCATGCGACAAGTTAGCACCCATTTCAGTAGGGACAGCCCTTCAGAAAAATAGTGAATAAACTGGAGGTCTGCCCACACCATCCTCAGTCTCCTTCTGCTCCCTTCCCCCAGCACCAACTCTCCTTAGTGCCTCCTGCTTTGTTCTCCCCTCTCTAAGAAAACACACTCTCAGGAAAGGGATAAATTAATTTACTTTGAGATTATAAATAAGGCTTAATGCTACCTCTTTTGAGGATTGCTTGCATTTTAACAGGGGAAAGCCTTAAGCCAAAGGAATGAAGTTCTACTTGCAGAATGTTAGGCATCAACTAATTGTAAAAGTGTATTTTTCACCATGGAAAGGCCAGATTCCCTGATGGCTAACTCCAGAGTATAGAAAATAACTTTATCTCCTGGAATAATTATAGATAGTAGCTGATGGTCAATCAGATTATCCAGATACCCAGTGCTGTTCAGTTTGGTTACTACCAAGGGACTCTCAGAATTGGCTTCTAAAAGCCACTGAGAAGGCCTAAATCGTTCATATTGTACATTAACATGTTATATAACAGAGTTAATACTACTTATCATTTGAGTAAAAGAACACAAAAATTTGAAGAGTTTGTGGAAATGTGTCCTGTTTGTGAAAGATTAAACTGTGCAACCCGTGTCCATCAATGTCAGTCGTCCAGTATTGGTAGTGATACTTATTGGAGGTACAACTTTATTAAACATAGGCCTCTGCTCTCCCTCCCCCCATTTTACCTCTGTTATGTGCTATCACTTCAGCTTGGTGTGAGAATGAGACCATATTATTACCAGAGCACCCAGTCCCTTTAAAGCCTTTGCATGTATTTCAGCTATAAGTGACAAAGATATTAGATTTAAAAGGATGAGAGAGTGGGAAAGAGATACAAAGAAGTGCCTTTGTCAAAGGGCAGAAAACAGTATAATAATTTAAACAATGATGAAATAAGCAAAGTTTTAGAATACTTTGAAATAGGCTTATAGAGAACTATAGTAGTAAATGGTTATGAACACATATTAGGGGCACAACATTTTTAATACACTAGCAAAAGAAATTTGCATGAGCAATGGATTATGTAAGATAGGTATATACTTTTGTTCAGTAACCAAAATCTAGGCCAGTGATTCTCTTAAGTGTAGTTCCAGGACTGGCAATA